GAACAAAATGTGCCCTTCACGGCTACTGAGTGATCGGAGCCTGGACGCCAACGGCAGAGAGGCCGGGGGCCCCGAAACTCTGCCCAGCATTTGCAGTCTACCCCAGGGCGTGTGACCTTAGAAAGGGGTGCAAAATGCAGTGATCAAAGAGCAGTGGTCCCTGGGTGTGCCTGGGGTTTCTGTGTCCTAAGCCTCCTTACACCCTTCCTACTGGAACAGCAACAAGGAGAAAAGTGGGACCAATTCCCCAGCTCCCAGGACAGCTGCGGCTCCTGAGCCGTGCAGGAGTGCCAGGTGAGGCCACACAGGTGAAGGCAGGCAGGGGGTGCAGGAAACGGGTGTGAAATTGTCAGTAGTTCCTTGCCTGTCTGTGATGGTTCCTCGCCTGTCAGAGCTAGGATGGTTTCCTGTGGAGCTGCTGACAGTTGTCAGCTGGCACAAGGAAGGGGTGCCAAGGGAGGGGGAGACTTCCAGAATGAGGAGAGTGGCCCAGCAGGAACCATTGAGGCTCCCCCAGAGTCCCTGTTCTCCTCCCCAGAAGCCCCTGGAATAATCTTCTTCCTTAGAACAGTGTGGCTATGTCAGGGTGATTATTGGCCAGGAAAAAAGGTAGACCCCCCACTCAAAATCAACATCTGACCCCCAGAAATAGAGCTGCTGCTTCACATTGAAACAATTCTCCACGGTCCTATTGTTCTATTTCTTTTTTTCCCTCAAATCACGAAAAGTCAAATTCCAGGAGAATGTTAATAGCTTCATTATGTGGCCACAGGGCGAATAAGTTACTTCGCTGAAGCAAGCGTTTGGGGGCTAAGCCTGTAAGGTATTTTGGGAATAATATCTGATCTCTTGATAGGAATCTATTGTTGGATGAAAAGCAAAGCTCCCCGGTACATGGAGAAGAAAAGGGCCAAGCCAAAGGTTTGATCATGACTCAGGGTACTCAAGCCCAATGGGCTGGTTCAATTCCCAGGAGGTGTTAGCATGGGGGTGGGGGGGACAATGGGGAGAAGGGGTCTCGAGGAAAAAATGGGGGAGGGAAGAGACACTTGCTGGAAACAGCTTGGGAACGAACTATATAAAACACAGGCATCCGCAGGGGTATGGTGCTGCCAACAGGTCAATCTCTACCTGTGAGGTGAGTGCATCAGCAACCTAATGGTGCCTTCAGACTTCTAGATACCCCAAAATTGCTGCTGTGCCTTTGGCCAGACCCCAACAACTTGGGGCCAAGTTTATCAAGAAAGCAAACAGCCAAAAGTTAGGTATGTGGGGAACACACCCACAAACCACCTCTGGTTCAGCTTATAATTGGAGGCAAGGCCTCCTGTTCCTGATCAAACTGCTTAATAGTCATGATCCCAGAGACTCAGAAACAAATCTCGAAACCCAGCGGCTTTTGGCAGAAATGTATATGGTCCCTGCAGTAGTTTACTGGTGCCAGACCATCCCAGTGGGAATAGGTTTCGTGCCTTGGCCTGTTCCTCCTGGAGGCCCGGTGGCTGCCATCCTCCAGAGGCAAGTCAGGTTTGGGCTCACAGTGACAAGACACGTGGGGCCTCATGGGATGGGGGTGGAGCCGGCCCTTTCCTCCCCACCCCAACAAGACCCCCAGTTGCCTCCCAGGGTTGGCATCTCTGGCTCCTGATCAAGCTGCTAATGGCCAGGATCCCAGAGACTCAGAAACAAACCTTGGAACCCAGCAACTTTAGGCAGAAATGTGTCTTGTCCCCATAGTAGGTTACCGGCACCAGGCCACCCCAAGTGGGAATAGGTTTCATGCCTTGGCCTGTTCCCCCTGGCGACTTGGTGGCCGCCATCCTCCAGAGGCCATTGGACAGTCAGGTTTGGACCTGCAGTAATGAGACACACGGGGCTTCATGGGATGGGGGTGGTGCCGGCCCTTTCCTTCCCTCCCCAACAAGACACCGAGTCACTGCCCATGAATGGCTGGCCTCTCTGGCTCCTGATCAAGCTGCTTAACAGCCATGGTCCCAGAGACTCAGGAACAAATCTCGGAACCCAGCAGGTTTTGGCAGAAATTCCTCCAGATTCAATTGTTAAAATTTCGGAATTCCAAAATCACATGGCCACTACTGTGACCACACAACATCATATGTTATTCATAATCAGCAATAGAAAGCAAATTGTCTATGGTTGCCTTTTCGGCAGATCTGAGTGTTGGGATAAAATACCAAATAATAATGGTGGGTCTGGGGTCAAAATATTGAATGAAATCAAAGTAGAGAGAGAGTAATGTGAAAATCATCTGCCACAGGTAGAGGGAGGGTGTGGGATAGAGCGTATACTGGGGTTTTTGGTGATGGAAAATGGGCAATGGTGAAGGGACGGGTGTTTCATCATTATATGACTGAGACTTAAACCCGAAAGCTTTGTAACTGCTCTCATGGTGGTTCAATAAATAAATTTATAAAAAAGAAAAAAAAAGTAAGGTGGAGTTCATGCCCAATTCAATCAGCCTAATCAATGGCTGAATAAATAGCAATACTCCTACATTAAAAAAAAAAACACAGGCATCCAGAAAATTCTGGTAAATCATGGACAGGCTTAGAGAAATCTAGAACTCCCACAGAACAAATAGAAGAAGGAACTTCTTTTCTTTCCCTTTTTTTTGGGGGGGGGTGTTAGGTCACCCGCAGAGATGCTCTGCACTCAGGAATTACTCCTGGCGGTGCTCAGGAGACCCTATGGATGCCGGGAACAAACCTGGGTCACCTAGTGCAAGGCAAACACCCTCCCCGCTGTGCTACTGCTCCAGCCCAGGAACGTCTTGGTAAATGTGAAGGACGGAAGAACAAGATCTCCCTTTGTTGGATATTCCTGCCCCTGGGGAGACCAGTTTTGGCACATGCTCAGGTGCAATGGGTATCCGATTAAGGAATGTGAGAGAACAAAGCACCTCCTCTAAGCCAACAACCCCTAAAGGAGAAGACGCTGCCCCCCACAAAACCCCAGCCTTTCTCATCTGATGAAACAAGGAACCCGCCTATGCAATTTGGCTCCTGAACCCACAAAGTCCCACAGGCCCCATCAGAACAGCCCAGCACGCTGCCACCTGCCCTAAGCGCTTTCAGGTGGACTCTCTCCCCTTCTGGCTTCCCAAAATAGGGGCTCCACAATCACCCCAGCTCCACTATGCTTCCTCCCCGGTGCCCCCACAGCTGCTGTCTGCTCCACTTGGGAAGATCCATTTCATATTTTTATACCCTGGACATCCTGACCTTTACATTCCACAACTGCTCTGACCTTTCTGTCTCAAGGAACTGACCTTTATTAAGGATCATGAAAGTGTAAGCTAGGAAGTGACTTCAGTTCCTGGAGGATTTTTAATTTCCTCCTAGAAAATTCCTACAAGCCCAATATTTGACGTAGCTGTGACCCAAAGGTCCCCACACACCATGGTTTCCTGTATCAAGTGTGATGCTAAGGGCATGACATAGTTACATCTTGGTTAGCATGGTTAAATTATACTGCAGCATCCCTCTGATGCAGATGCCACTATGATCCCATTTCCTTTTTTTTTCATTTTTTATAAGTCAATAATTTTATTTATTGAATCACCGTGAGAACAGTTACAAAGCTTTCAGGTTTAAGTCTCAATGAAACACACATACCTTCACCAGTACCCATTCTCCACCACCAAAAACCCTAGTATACCCCCATCCCACACCCTTCCCTTACCTGTGGGGCAGATGATTTCCACATTATTCTCTCCTACTTTGATCAAATTCAGTATTTTGACACCATACCCACCATTATTATTTGGGATTTTACCCCAACACTCAAATCTGCCGAAAAGGCAACAGTAAACATTTTTTTTTCTATTGCCTGGTTATGAATAACATATGATATTGTGTGGCTGCAGTAGTGACCACGTGATTTTGAAATTCCAAAATTTAAACACTTCAATCTGGAGGGATTTCTGCCAAAACCTGCTGGGTTCCGATATTTGTTCCTGAGTCTCTGGGATCATGGCCATTAAGCAGCTTGATCAGGAGCCAGAGAGGCCATTCATGGGCGGCAACTTGCGGTCTCCTTGGGACGGGGAGGAAAGGGCCAGCTCCACTCCCATCCCGTGCGGCCCCACATGTCTTGTCACTGTGAGCCCAAACCTGACTGTCCAGTGACCTCTGAAGGATGACGGCCACCAGGTCCCCAGAGGGAACAGGCCAAGGCACGAAACCTTTTCCACCTTGGGTACCCTGGCACCGGTAATCTACTGCAGGGACCAGATGCATTTCTGCCAAAAGCCATTGGGTTTCAAGATTTGTTTCTCAGTCTCTGGGATCATGGCCCTTAAGCAGTAGGATCAGGAACCAGAGAGGCCATGCCTCCAATCATATAGCTGAGACAGAGGTGGTTTGTAGGTGTGTCTCCCACATACCTAACTTTTGGCCATTTACTTTCTTGGTAAACTTTGCCCCACGTGTTTGGGGTCTGGCCAAAGGCACAGCAGCAATTTGGGGGTATCTGGAAGTCTGAAGGTGCCATCAGGCTGCTGATACACTCGCCTCACAGCTACAGATTGACCTGCTGGCGGCACCATACCCCCATGATCCCATTTTCAAGAAAAAATGAGAAGCACTTTAATCAACGCTCATCCATCTGATCCCTCACTTTATGAAGAACCCCAAACTACACAGGGAAGTGTTGAGATTTATGAGTCATGTTTTTTTGTTATTGTTTTTTTCTTTTTAGGTCACACCCAGTGATGCACAGGGGTTACTCCTGGCTCACGCACTCAGGAATTACTCCTGGCGGTGCTCGGGGGATCATATGGGATGCTGGGAATCAAACCCGGGTCGGCTGCATGCAAGGCAAACGCCCTACCTGCTATGCTATCACTCCAGCTCCTCTAAGTCATGTTTTATCAGTGCTGGGAGGGAAAGAAGCCTACATCGGCCTTTTGGAAGAGTTCGAGTCCAAGGTGAGGCTGGGCTGTTCTTGTGACTGTGGCACAGAGCACAGCCCTTTCTTACCCTGTTGTCCTCCTGGATCTCCCAGTCACTGGAGAAGGGTACCAGCTGCTGTCCTTGGGAACAGTTGGAGAACTGGAAAAGGCTGGAAAACATCCTTCTGTTCTCTTGAGTGTCGGGGAAAATGGCATCTTGGAAATTGACACCGTGAGGCAAGAGGTTATAATTTTCATCCATCCTAAGAGGAGACAGGAAGGAGGCAAGATGTAGAGGGGACATTCAGGGGCTGTGCTAGGTCCGATCAAGGGCTGCGGATAGTGACAGTTACACATGGTTGGAACAGACGTGCAAGGGGTTCACAACATGCTTTCAAGAGGAACACAACCGGTTTCTCTGCCTCACACTACCAGTTTGTCCTTAATGTCTTCAAAAAAGGTGAATTTGGTTCAAGTCGGCGGAGAGCGTGTCTGGGCATGCGTCTCACTAGCTCTCAAGAGGGCTCCCTTTCGAAGTGTCCCTATTTCCCAGAGAAAGGAAGGTCAGAGGGAGTGACCCATGTTCAAATACTGCCATTGTCACTTATGCTCAGTTTAACAGGAAATGAGTCCTTCAGTGCTCCAAGTCCCAGTCTATTAAACGAGGCTGAAGGCCAGAGGCACGGCACAGTGGACAGCGCTCCTGCCCTACATGTGACCAGCCTGGGTTTGGTCCCCTGGGCCCACCAGGAGTAATTCCTGAACTCAGAGCCAGGAGCAAGCCCCGGATACAGCCAGGTGAGGCCCCAAAACCAAACCAAAAAAGATGAGAGGGGCCGGAGCAATAGTCCAGTGGGTAGGGCACTTGCCTTGCACGCAGCTGACCCAGGTTCGACCCCCGGCATCCCATATGGTCTCCACAGAACTGCCAGGAGTAATTCATGAGTGCAGAGCCAGGAGTGACCCCTGAGCATCGCTGGTTGTGACCCAAAAAGCAAACAACAACAACAAAAAGAAGATGAGAAAGGCACTGTCTGTGGTGGCGTACTGACTGCAGTAGGGAATGGAATGAATGAAGTTCTTGCTTGGAAGAGAGCGCGGACGGACCTTAGAGTGTTTTTTGCGGAGCTCTCTGTGAATTGTTTGTACAAAGATAAAGAAGGCAGGAAAAGGAGAGATGGAAGATACAGTTCAGCCCATGGCTCTCCCCCCTCCTCGCTGCCCTCACACTGACCAGGATCTCTGCTTTTCTCAGTGGGCCCCAGGATCACACAGGAGGAAGGATTTAAACGCTGCTGTTAACACACTTTATGGCCACCATAAAGTCCTGTGAAATGGAAATCAGGCTGACTATGGTTTGGCTGTAATATGTCACAGCAAAAGATGAAAGAGTTGGCAGAGCCCCCATAGACAAACTGTGTTCCATGATAAACTGGGAAAGAAAAAAAAACCCTGTCTGCTCAAGTACTTAGGTTCTTTATTGCGGGAAATGAAGCTTTCCAAATGAGGCTTTCAGAACAGGGTTCTCCTTCGTAAAGGTCTGAAAAAAACAGCCAGGGAGATGTTCAAGTGGTAGAACACAAGCCACCCAGGTGCAAATCCCTGGGTTGGATCCCCAGCACCACCTGCCCAGAGAGCACCGGCACTGCCAGGTGTGGCCCCAATTTAGAAGAAAAACTTGAGTGATGTTTACAGTACCAAGGAAGGTGCTGTCTCCACGCATGCTGCCTTTATTTAGAAATGATGCTTCCCTGGTAATTAAAAGAATGCGGTTAGATCTAACTAAAGCACTCAGCCAAGACAAAGCATGCCACGAATGCTGAAGGGCTTCAATATGGAAAACATGTGTTGTCGGAGGAGCTGGGAAGGCCCCTCAGTGGGATTGACTGCATTGTTGGTCAGGATGATGTCAAGTCTCAGGGCGGGAGGGAGGCACAGACAGAGCTCCAGTCCTCTTCCCTCCCCCGCCAGATCTCGCTGCCCCTGTGGACAGGGACGTCTGCCCATGTCCCGTCTAGAGACGGTGTTGGCTGCGGGCGGCTCTCCAGTTCCACTGGCTGCTCTCTCTCTCTCTCTCTCTCTCTCTCTCTCTCTCTCTCTCTCTCGTCCAGCTCAGTTCCCACCTCAAACCTGGCCCATTTTCCTGAAACTTGGGATGCTTCGGGGGTGGGGGTGGGGGGGCTCCAGTCAGAGAGGGCCTCCTGCTGGTTCCCCTCAGCAGAGCACAGAGCCCAGAGTCTGCTCCTGCAGCTCTTTCCCACCCTCTGCAGCCACTGATCTGCTAGGGGGCCTGCCTCCCACCACCCAGTGAGGGCATCTGGTGTGGGGGGGAGATACTAGCACCCTCCCCCGCCCCCCGTGCGCAAGGTGCCAGCTGTTTAACTTCCAGTTGGTCTCCACCAGCCCGGCTTTTCAGGGGAGGAGGATGAGGCTCCTGGGACTCAGCATCGGGAATTCCTCCAAACCAATTAGAGGGCTGGACACACAGGTCAGCCGGGAGGGTGCGTGCCTTGCAAGCCACTGACCAGATCCAGGTTTCATTCCCTGCAGGAGCTTTCATGCCCTGAGCCCGGACAGGAGTGAGCTCTGAGCACGGAGCCAGGAGTAGGTCCTGAGCACCGCAGGGTGTACCGACTCCCAAACCCAAATTCTGTCTCCCCACCCCCCGCCTTCAAAAAAACCCACAACATACAGCCACCCAATCTCAGTTTTCCTCACCATCTCTTCACCCCATAAGGGATGGAGGGAAGAGAGGAGGTGGCCTTTGGTGGGATGGGGGTGGGGCGCAATAACTTTGCACCCGGATTCCAGGAACTTTGACGGTATTGTAACCATCTAACCAAAACTGCAATGACTGTGGCTGGAGCAATAGCACCGCGGGTAAGGTGTTTGCCTTGCACGCGACCCACCCGGGTTCGATTCTCAGCATCCCATATGGTCCCCTGAGCACAGCCAGGAGTGATTCCTGAGTGCAAAGCCAGGAGTAACCCCTGAGCATTGCAGGGTGTGACCCAAAAAGCAAATAAATAAATAAATAAATAAATAAATAAAAGCAATGACTTATGTCAGGGCTCGCTCCTGGCTTGGTGCTCCGGAATCACTCCGGGAGGTGCTGGGGGGCGGGTGGGGGGAGGGGTGACAAACGGGATGCCAAGGGTGTAGACTGCATGGGCCACGGTGCAAAGCAAGTGCCCTAGCTGCTGTGCTATCACTCCGATCCCTGAAGCCCCCACCCCGCCCTTTTTTTTTTTTTTTTTTTTACTTTTTATTAGTGAGACACCATGAGGTACAGCTGTAGACTTACAAATTTTGTGCTTGGGTTTCAATTATACAATGATCAAATACCCATCCCTCCACCAGTGCCCATTTCCCACCACCACGGATCCCCCGCCTTTTTAAAAGACTTTTTCCCGGGAAACTCTTCAGGGTGCTAAGCGCGGAGCTCAGCCCAGGATTCTGCAGCCCGAGTGAGGGGCGCGCGGGGTCTCTGCGGCGCGAGGGACCGGGCGGGCTCACCTGAGGAAGAAGAAGTAGGCGGCGTCGGGCACCACGGTGTGCGAGTGGCACGAGAAGTAGCCGAGGCCCGTGAGGTTGAGGCGGGAGCCGGCGGGCACCTCGAGCATGCTGCCCCACGCCTGGTCGCACAGCAGCTCCACCTCGGCCGCGTAGAGGAGGCCGGCCTGGCTGGCCCCGAGCTGCCAGGGCAGGGAGTTGGCGAGGCCGTGGTCCTCGGGGTGCAGCGCCAGCACCTTGGCGTACACGATGATCTCCGCCAGCTCGGCGCGGCAGCCCTCGCTCAGCGGTCTCCACTCGGACGGCAGCTGGCAGCCCCGGGCCGCGGCGAGCAGGCAGAGCGCGGCGAGCAGCAGCGGGCGAGGCATGACGGCGGCGGGCGCGGGCCGGGGCGCGCCGGGTGGTGGGGGACCCGGGCAGGGAGCACGGGCCCAGAAGCACTGGGGAACCAGGTAGGGCGCACGGGCCGGGGAGCTAGGCAGAGCGCACGGGGGATCCGGGCAGGGAGCCGAGCAAGGAGCACGGGTCTGAGAGCACGGGCCGGGGAACTGGGCAGGGAGCCAGGCAGAGCGCACGGGCCGGGGAGCACAGGGGAGCCGGGCAGGGCGCACGGGCCGGGGAGCACAGGGGAGCCGGGCAGGGCGCACGGGCCGGGGAGCACAGGGGAACCGGGCAGGGCGCACGGGCCGGGGAGCAATGGGGAGCCGGGTAGGGCGCACAGGCCGGCGAGCACGGGGGGACCCAGGCGAGCGCGGGCCGGGCCGGGGAGTTTGGGGGAGTCGGGCAGAGCGCACGGGTAGGGGAGCGCGGGCCGGGGATCACCGGGGAGCGGGGCAGGGAGCCGGACCGGGATCCGGGTCCGGCGCTCTAGCCGGGGCGCATGGCGGGGCGCCCTCGGCGGTGTGGATCTCGGAGCGCCGCCGCCGGCCCGGGAAGGGCAGCCTGGGGCGCTCGCACTGCTCCCCCGGAGCTCCCCACGCCCCGCTCGCGGCGCCCCGGCCCTGCCCGCCGGCTTTAACCGGGCCCCTGGGGGGGCGGGGCCGCTCCTCTTGCCCTGCCCCCCGCGGCGCGGGCGGGGGCGGCGCCAGGGCCGAGTGAAGGGGGACCCAGGCCTGGCCCAGAGGGACCCTCCGAGCGCCCAGTGGCCAGAGGGGTTTCAGGGTTTAGAGAATGCGGGGAGGGGGGTGCAGCCAGAAAGCCCAAGCACCGAGCAGAGGCCCAGCCCTGTCCCGGCGTCCCCTGACGGGTCCCCTTGCTCTGAAGTGGGGATGGATGTTGGGGGTCCCCACTCTGACGATGATGGGGGTCTCTGCCCCACTGATGATGGAGGTCCTCGCTCCACAGATAATGGGGGTCTCTGCTCTACTGATGATGGGAGTCTCTGCTCCACCGATGATGGGGGGTTCCCACTCCACTGATGGTGGGGGTTCCTGCCACCACTGCTGGTCCAGTTCCCCCTGTGTCCTGTGTTCCAAACATGAGACATTCTTGCAATAGCCACCAAGCTCCAGGGGTCCTCCTCAGTTCTCACCTTTTCTGTGTCCCTAGTACTCGGGAATCTGGTCTGACCTGACCTCTACCTTCTCACAGATGACCTGGAAGCCCACGTGATCCAAAACATTTTTGGGGCTATTGAAAGTTTCTATCTCTGTCTTTCTCTCTCTAATATAACAAAAGATGCCAAGAACCATTTTTGATCTGGTTTTTCTAAAGTTGCCGCTTAGACTAGTTCCTACCCAAGATGTGAATTCAGAAGGAAGTCCCCAACGGCTTTTCACAAGACCCAAGTTCTTCACCACGAGGAGCAAGGGGATGGTGGTTATGGTTTGGGGGGCACACCAGTAGGTGCTTGGAGGAAGATACTCAGTGCAGTACCCAGGACTTCCACACGCAAAACATGTGCCCCAGCAGCTCTGTTCTGCCCCCCAAACTCAATTTAGTTGTTTGTTTCAGTTTGGGGGCCACACTTGGCAGTACTCAGGGATCATTCCTGTTGGTGCTCAGAGGACGGCAGAAGGTATCAATAGTTGAACTCGGTTATCTTCATGCAAGACAGCACCCCAGCCTGTCCTGTCTGGCCCTGTGCTTCCTTTTGGGCGTTTTCCCTTTTCCTTATTGATTTATCATTCATTGACAATGTTGTAGAATTTTAGGGCTCAATTTTAGCGCCTTGTACAGTATCAAATTCACTGTATCTGCTACTTCAGTGCCAGTGCTGTCCCCCCTCAAGGACCTCTTCCCCCTTCTATCTCAGCCCTTCCTCTCCCCATCCCTCCTACCTCACTCCCCCCATTCTTTCCACCTCACCCCTTTCTCATCACCACCATAATTTCAATGAGTCCAGCAGTTACTTTTGTTTCTTGCGAGTTTGTTTGCTTTCAGAATTCATATTCCATCTTTGAGTGAAACCACATTTAAATGAAACCCAAGAGAAATTTGACTAATTGCATTCACCATAATCTCCCAATCCATTCCTCATGTCCCAAAAAGGCACAATTCTTTCCCTTTCAACAGCAGCATACTGTTCCACTGAGTGGACAGCTGCTGTGTCATCATCTGTGGATGGTCATGTCGACAGGTTCTATGTCTTGGCTCTTGTGAATAAACCACTGTGAATTCAGGGTGCAAATAAAATCTTAAATAAGGGATGTGTGTGTGTCCTTTGTGTAAGTACCTGAATGATATTGCTTAGATTATATTAATTTCTTTTTAAAAAACTTCTTAGTGTGGCCGGAGAAATGGTACAAGAATAGTACAAGAAATAGTACAAATAGTACAAGAAATAGTACAAGAATAGTACAGGAGTAATCCCTGAGTACCACCCAGTATGGTTCAAACGCCATCCCCCTGAAAATCTTCAAGACTTCCCTGACTGTTTCCATCAGGGCTGCCCCACTTGACACACCCACACCAAGTGCCCCAGGGCCAGGAGACAGTTTTCACTAAATCCTCAGATCTGATGGGTTCGAAGAGATCATTCAGCAGGTCCAACAGGGTTTGACTCCCGGTACCCTATATGGTCCCCTGAGCACTGCCAGAGTGATCCCTGAGCACAGAGCCAGGAGTAAGATCTGAGAACTGCCAAGTGTAAACCAGAAACAAATCCTCAGGGATGGACCAAAAGGAAGAGTGGACATAACCTTCCTCCATGGGGTCTGGAATGAATCCCAGAGCACCCCATAGTCCAGCTAGGTCCTTAATACAGTTGATTATTAAAAAAAAAAAATCATGGAGACAATGGTGGAGGGAAGGTGACAGTGGTGGTGGGATTGGGGTTGGAATATTGAATGCCTAGAACAAATCATCATGAACAATTTATAAACCATGGTGTTAAATAAAGCGGGAAAAGTGTTTAATAAATTAATTTTTAAAAAAATTATTATCACTGGGGCTGGAGCAATAGCACAGCGGGTAGGGCCTTTGCCTTGCACGCGGCCAACCCGGGTTCAATTTCCAGCATCCCATGTGGTCCCCTGAGCACCGCCAGGGGTGATTCCTGAGTGCAGAGCCAGGAGTAACCCCTGTGCATCACTGGGTGTGACCCAAAAAGCAAAAAAAAAAAATTATCATCACTAAGGAATCAAGTAGACAGTGGTTCTCTCAGCATCTGTGTCCTGTCCACCACCACCATTCCCATATACACACACCTTGGTGGATTCCAGACTCTCATACAACAACTAAAGGGTGGGCGAGGGGCATCTAGGGCTGCGTCAGTACTGTTAATTTGTTGCCCATTAAATATGCAAATGAGGAATTTTTCAAAATGTCATTGTGTTCGCTCTGGCAGCCCTACACAGAACTCTGGGGGCTGGGGGACGGGGAGCTCAAACCTTAGACATTTGTTCGCTCTCACGTCTTGAGGCTGGAAGTCGCACACCAAGGCACCACTAGAGTATTGTTTGGGGTGGTCTTTCCAGGTCCTCGTGGGAAAAGGAAAATCTCAGGGGGCGTCTCCCTTTTATAGGACATCAGAGCTATTGGGTTACAGCCCTCCCCTTTTAATCTCAGTGATCCCTAATGATGCCCCCACCCACCATAAAGGGCCTCTCTCTAAACAGAGTGACACTGGGTAGGGCTTTAGCATATGAATTTGGAAGTTATGAAAGGACGGACACGCAATTCGTCAATAACAATCATTGAGGGGCAGGAGCGATAGTACAGCAGGGAGGGCGCTTGCCTTGCATGCGGTCAACCTGGGTTTGATCCCCAGCATCCCATACAGTCCCCCAAGCATAGCCAGGAGTAATCCCTGAGCATCACTGGGTGTGACCCAAAAAGCAAAAAACAAAGACAAGTAACAATCATTGAGCAGGTGTTCGTCAGAGATGTTGCTTGGGGTGCTGTAAACTGGGTTTAGAGTCCTGGCCAACAGTCTCCAGGTGAAGGGGCTGGAGCAATAGTACAGTGTAGGGGGTTGGGCATTTGCCTTGCATGAGGCCGACCCGGGTTCGATTCCCAGCATCCCATATGGTCCCCCGAGCACTGCCAGGAGTGATTCCTGAGTGCAGAGCTAGAAGTAACCCCTGAGCATCGCCAGGTGTCACCCAAAAAAGGAAAAAAAGCAAGGAAACAAAAAGAAAACAGTCTCCAGATGAACATCATCAAACCCCAGTGTTTACAACCGCTAGCGTTTGCTTGTTGCTTCCTGTGAACCACATGATTTTAAATCATCCTCTGAGCAAGGATACTGCTACTCTGCAAGAGATTCTCTTTTCATCCTCATTGTATAGAGAAGGAACGAGTCACGTGGCTGAACTGGATTCTCTCCCCAGTGCCACATAAGGTGCTCCCAACTCCGTGTGGGAGGGTCAGATGAATGACTGGGGCAGTGCCCGACACTGTCTGACTCACAGTCACTGGACTCTAAACCCTCCCAAGAACCCTCCAGAGTGTCTTAATACGTCCTAAAGGAAAAGGGGAACCTGGTTCTTTCATCAGAACACAAAGAAGCAAAGATGCTGGTATAAGGGCATGACTGCATTTTCAGCGGTTTATTCATAACAAACAATACAAAATAAATGACTTTGTTTCTGATTTGGGGCAGGGGTTGGGGTTGGGGATGGAAATATCCAGAACGTAGTGGTAGGAAGGTATAATGGTGGTGTTTGAATATTAATGTAATCAAATATTGTGAACTACTTTATAAAAATAAAATAAAATTTTTAAAAAGGAAATAAATTTAAGTATAACATTTAAAAAAAAAAGAGCATGACCCCCAGGTACTCCCTTCTAGAACTTTCCATCCTCTTGCTAATCTCCCCAGGAGTGCTTCTGCTGCGGTCTCTGTGCAGACAAGTCTCCCAATAGCACTTCCCTTCCCCGCCCCTCCCTGGCACTAGCATGACACCCCCCAAACCTCCAGCAACAA